CCCATGAATGCACGGATGTTCCACTGGATCACAAGAAGAGCATCCCTGTCAACAGTAAAGAGTTATTATACCAAACTCATTGCGATTGATCAATAGTTAGTTGTTTTAAGTGGCTGATTCTTCTGACCTCCTCTCAACAATCTTCTGGAACTCCACTCGTGCCAGCAGACCTCTGGATCTGGCCTGAATTCCAGTGATGATGAGTGACAAACGATCATCCCTCATCTCTTCCAGTTGGCCAAGAAGACCAGCCTTAAAGAACACCTTTTAGAAGCATGAGACAAGATGGGAACATCCACCAGATGTTAAACATATGGACCTTAGGACACTGTATCTTTAAAATAAGTCTGTGTGACTTTAGAAAGACAAATGTGTTCTTTATCCTACAAATGCAAAGTTGAATTCCTCAGAATTTCCTTTACCTTCACCCCTTTTTTTTAAACCAGTCAAAATACAGTGACAGAAAATTTTACTAAGCCAGTGAGTGTTAAGGGTTAAAAACAAATATAAGACAGTGTATTGCACTCACTGAGGAACAGTGCAATACACCAAGAAATGTAGTTGTTCAGCAAAAGTTTTTAAATATTTAACCGTTTCCTGTAATGCTGTATATAATGTGTATTGCACAGAAAATGCAAGCGATCTGCTTCTGACTTTGCCTTTGATTGTTACCTTAGTGTGTCCAAACTTGTATTGGCTGTGATCAATATCCAGAGACCCGAGAAGTTTTTCAGCTCCCTTCCTGCTGTCAATGAACTGGCCATCAGGGATGGCAGCAGGATTCAGGATGCGATATCTAAAACAGCACAAAGGACAAATATCTGGGAGTGTAAATTCATGACATGTTTGGAATCATACAGTACATGACCTCACTGATACAAACCTCTGTTTGAAATCTCCGTACAGGATCCTGTTGGGGAAGCCCTTTCTACAGATCCTGATGCCTTCCAGCACACCGTTACAGCGCAGTTGGTGCATCACCAGAGGGTTCTCCATGGCCCCAGGAGTCTTGGTCTCGTTGGGGATGAGGCAGCGCACAAAGTGAGGGTGAGTAGACCTCAAGTTGGTCATCAGCTTGTTCAGGTTCTCCTGCAAGTTTTACACATAAAATATGTTTAAATTTTTGCCATTGTGTTTGGCACAAAATCTAAAAAATGTGCAGTAGATTTACATAGATGCTCAAGTTATTTAACTAAATAGGTTATAAGAACTCATAGTGTCATAGTCTTCAGTAAGGTACACGGTGATTATGGTTCATTTTAAGCCTGAAATACTTAATGTCCTTGGAAGCAGACACTGTTTATATCAGTGCTGTTTTCCAGTAGCCTTCTACATTTGTGCATAAATATGCCTTTTGTAGCTTCAACCCATAACATTTGTGGAAAAAAAAAAGAAAAAGAGATGAAAACACATGAAAATCTTACCCTGTGCAGAGCTGATACAGTTTGGAAGGATGAACCTTTCTTCTTGGTACCACCTTTTGCCTTTCCACCAGAATCCTGAGCTAAATACGAATTATTTATATTAAGTTTTGCCAACACAACACAGTGACAGAGACCTTCAACTACTAGACATAAATGAATACATCCTTTTATTGTCTTTTATGAAGAAAAAAATAGATATGGATATTGCCAGTTAATGTTAAAGCAGTTCTCTAGCTGTATTCTTACCTGACTCAGCTCCAGCATAATTTGCGAAGAGGAAAGACAAAATCTTGAGGTTAGACTTCTGGAAGAGACCAACAACAGTCTCATTCAGAGGATCCTTGTTTTTCACCAGCCAGTTGTTGATATTATAATCAACAGTTCCAGCGTAGTGAACCAGGGCAAAATGGGCCTCTGGTTTGCCTTTGACAACTCTGGGCTTCTGGAAGTTGTTGGATTTCCCCAGGTGGTTGTCATAGAGCTTGGCTTTGAAGGTGGAGTCACTGGCTTTGGGGAACATGCATTCCTCTTCAAGGATGGACATGATACCCATGGGCTGAGGAGGAAAATATGAGTGGTTTAAAAAAAAAAAAAGATCCTGTTTTATTTGTTTGTGTTTGAACATGTAAAAGTTGAATCTTTTACCTTTTCAATCAGGTCAATACAGGCCTGCAGATCCATACCAAAGTCTATGAAAGTCCATTCAATGCCCTCTTTCTTGTACTCTTCCTGCTCCAGCACGAACATGTGATGGTTGAAAAACTGTTGCAGTTTCTCATTGGTGAAGTTGATGCACAGCTGCTCAAAGGTGTTGAACTGTAACGAAATGGACACCAGTGTGACCGCGATTTATCATTTCTGCTTAAACCTAAGAGATTATATTCTTTTGAAACTCACATCAAAGATCTCAAATCCTGCGATGTCCAACACACCAATGAAGTACTGGCGGGGCTGTTTGGTGTCTAGAGAATGGTTAATTCTCACCACCATCCACAGGAACATCTTCTCATACACTGCCTTCGACAGTGCACCGATAGCATAGTACACCTAAAATGAATTTCAAACATTAAGTTACAGTAAATAGCCATTCTGTGTGCCCAGTGTTGTCTCCATCTATGGTAAAAATATTGTTAAATATACAAGATGTACAGATGGGAAATTTAGCTGTAAAGTTTTGTTCCTACCTGCTGAACATTTTGTCCCTTGGTGACCCACTCATTTCCTACTTTGACTCTTGGGTGACAGAGACCTTTGATGAGGTCAGCAGAGTTCAGGCCCATCAGGTAGGCTACTTTGTCAGCATCTAAAAAAACACCACAAATGAATATGAAATTGCTCAATAAGCTAGAGCGTAATCACAAATCCATATTGGAGGCTGTCTATTACACTTCTTTTACCATATAGTACACTGTCTTGATGCATCTGTACAAACCCAGATGTTAGATCCATGCTAGTCCACATGTTAAATTACAGTGACTCTTTAATGTGTTAAATAACGTCTTTCAGGTGTCACTGAATGTGTTTCAGGATTTTGTAGAAACATTAGTCGGCCCCCAAGTCCTGTTAGCTGCCGACTGCTGGCTGTGTAGCAGATTCTTTGACTTCAATAAATGCCTGCAGCATCGCACAGCAACAGAAACGATAAGTGTTTATGCAAATGGCATAACAGCGATAACTTCATGAACACAGGGTTTGATGGCATAAAATGTTCTCCGTTCTTCACCAAATCCACCTGTTCCACACTGATTTTAAGTTTATATGGTGGAATTATTTGTTTTAAGGTTTATGTGGATGAATCCTGAGCACCATCAGAGCTAGCAGGACATTTTTGGTAAGACACATCTGTCATTACAGACCAAATGACATTTCTGTGTTTGAATCGTGTTATGGGACTGGAGTCATGGAACTGAAGTATTGAGAAGCTCAATTAAACCTAAACCTCTTGCAGGTTTTGTCCATGTATAAAGTTTTACATTTATTTGTCCCGGTGAAGAACAATCTCTGGAATTGCAGCATCAATCTCAAACAAGTTAATTTACAGCTTAATTGATGATTATATTGATTTTCTATCCAGAATATGATGCCCTCAAATACCTAAAGTTCCCCTTCCTAACTCTGTCATCCCTCCACCAAGACCCCACCTGGTCTCAATCACTGTATGCAGGAAGGTTTTGTGTTCTGTTTGTCGAGTTTCAGAGCTACAGAGAGACTCTCTTACCTTCAGTGCCATCAGCCTCAGCTTGCTCTTCACGCTGCTTTTGCTTAAACTTCATGTTACCGTAGTGCATGATGGCACCAGTCAGCTTGTAAATGCCGTTCTTCTCTTCTTGAGTGAAGCCCAACACATCAAAGGCGTCCTGAATGGGAAGAGAGGGGCGTTCTGTTTCATATGTCATAGATTTTTTCATAGTATCAGGGTTTAAAGTGTGGAGTGCCAGGAGAAATCCAGGGGATAAGTCAGTGTGTGCTCTCTGAGCCACCAGAATCCCACATGACTGACATCAGATATTAGACATTTAATCCAGTCTATTCAGAAATTTTTTGACTCAGTGATACTGGGTTACAAATGCCAAAGATGCTCAGTGTCATAATCCCATACCAGCAGCAAGATGCAAAATAACAGGATTTCACTGGACTTACTTTTATCTCTATAAACCCTTTAAAGCTTTGACCTCGAAGAACAAAATCTCTAAATTAGGCTGATGCGACACGTTTGTTTTCAGAATCATTGTTAATTTCCCACTCACATCAGTGGCCATCAGCTCTTCAGCATCATTAATTGAGGCTACAGTTGTCTCTCCTTGGGAGATGAACGCATAGTCATAGGGGTTGTTGGTGATGAGCAGCATCTCTGAAAAGCAGAGCAGAAATGTTTCATTTTGCATTCATGTGATACAGAAACATTACAACTACTAGTTGTCACCAGTTCAAAGATCACATGTTTTCACGTACCAAGCAGCTCAGGTTTCTTCTGAGACAGGATCTGATAGAAGATGTGATAATCTCTCTCGGCCTTAAGCTGAAAGGTGACACGGGACTTTTCCAGCAGATCTGTAAAGACATTTGCATTATGAAGGGGGAAGCTGATTACTGTGAACATAGGAACAAGCTGAATGACATTAGAGAGGAGAAGTGCTTACATGTTTCAATATCAGCTGAGGCCAGCTTTCCACTGGCTGCAAAGTGAATTCTGATGAATTTGCCCTAAATGAATGACAAAAAGAATGTAAAGAAAAAAAAAAAAGAGTAGGCACAAAGGATTGTTTCATTACAGACAGAAACTTACAAATCTGGAAGAGTTGTCATTCCTGATGGTTTTGGCATTCCCAAAGGCCTCCAGAGCAGGGTTAGCCTGGATGATTTGATCTTCCAGAGTACCCTAAAATAATACAGTGAAACATTTGTTTGAATAGATAAAACACATGAAAGTAAAATGATGCGACAAGCAGTTAAAAGTTGTATTTCCTGTAAATTCAGCGTAATCACCTTTTTCTCAGAGCCTGCTTCCTTTTTCCCTCCTCCTCCAGCTGCAATGCTGGCAAAGTACTGGATGACTCTCTTGGTGTTGACAGTTTTCCCGGCACCAGATTCTCCACTGAGGACATAAATTCAATTGTTTTGATAAAGTGACTAATGTGAAGCATACATGACATGTTTAGTCAGGTTTTTGATACACCAGTAAATTATTGATCATTTACAGGTGTGGTCAAGAGATATTTAGACACCTTTTTAGCTGAATAAATGTAATTTTATTTGGCATGCTGCTGCATTGAGCATTATCATCTTTTTTTTTTTTTACATTGATTGCACTTCATTCCCTTTTGCAGGAAATAAGACAGTGACAGTTCGTTGCAGCAGTGACAGCAGGAATGACTTACTTGTCACTATGTCATATCACATTGAAACTGAAGTAAATACATCCTTCAAATTATTTAGTTTTGGGCTATTAAATCAACAATTTCACGTTAAAATCTAATGTTTCTACTCAAATCCTCTGTTCCAGTCCATACTCAGCTGTGTAATGGCAATATACCACTAAAGATAATACCATAAAACTGGGATTAACTACAGCACATCAATGAAAATTGGAAGGATAAGGGATGCCACTCAGTAAAGTTCTTACAGCATGATATAATTCTCAAGTGCAGTATAACAAAGTCATAAAAATATAACTTACGTGATGAGAATTGACTGATTTTCTCTGTCTGAAAAAGAGCAAAAAAGAAAAGGTGACTTTAGGATTCGAATGCTCCTTACGGTATTTCAGCATCACTTTTGCTGTGGACTTGTTGTCATATCTAAGTCTAAATTACCAGTTAGCATGTACTGGTAGGCATTGTCAGAGATGGAGAAGATGTGAGGAGGAGCTTCAGTCCTTTTCTTTCCTCTATAGGCAACAACCACCTCTTGATTGTAGACTGGCAGCCACTTGTAGGGGTTGACAGTCACACAGAACAGCCCCGAGTAGGTCTGCAGGGAATGAGAAAGGGAAAGCAAACTGTAAAATTGTGTTAGGCTTCAGTATATGGATGTAGTATGAAGTTGTACGTTTATTCGCCTCGATGTTTGTTAATGTTTTCAGCTCACATAGATCATCCATGCTGCGTAACGCTCTTTGAGGTTAAACAGCACAGCGGGCTCATGGAGGAAGGTGAACATCGCCATGTCTTCAATTTTATCAAACTTTGGCGGGTTCTGAGGGTGCACATCACACTCCTTCACTGTGACAGTCTGAAAAAAAAAGGAGACACTGGGTGTTAATACAGTGTTTTCTTTCAAATAAATTGGACAAAGGAGCGTAAGATCGTCATGCCTGTGGGCAGCGGAGTCTCTGACTTTGATTGTTTCTCTGCTTTGTATGAAACCAGCAGCATCCAGAGCAGCTCACTGACCTTCCCTCTCTCAGTCTGAGCGGTGACTTTGTCCCCCTCACGGCTGGTGATAGAAGCCTTCACATATTCCTCGTCAGCATCAGGAACAAAACACTCCTTCTTCATGTCAAATGGACGAGTCTGGGCCTCCAGACGCTCCTTATCTGACTTCCTCAGGTACGGAGCTGCTGCCCCAAACTCTTTCATGGCAGCGTCACCCATTTTTCACCTTGTCTACAAATAGAAATCTAAATTACAGTTCAGCCATATTATGCATTCAGCTAGCTGCATCTGCAGGTTAAAAACTGAAAGACTACACATGCCAATATAGAGCTATTTAGTTCTCTGTTAAAACATCATATAATGGCGTTATCTTTTTTTCCTCCCCCTAGGTTATAAGTCACACTCCACAGTTTAAGATGCTCTTACCTTTGCAATCCCTACTGAGAAGACTGAGGTGTAACGGTCCTGAGGAAAGAAAAAATGGACACTGCTGAGACCCCAGTCCACAGTGACACAGGTAAGGCTTTAGTATCACAGTGTAGCCTCTAGTTGGTAAGCGTTGTCTTCACACCTTACCTTGAGATAGAATGGTGACCTGTCCGGGGGTTTCACCATGAGTTCTCTTTATAAACAAAGTCCCTCTGCCAAATATGGAGGAGGGTTTCAGGGCCCAGGAATGTTATTGTGTCTGAGTTGGGTTGGGGGTGCATGAAGGGAGGGGGTTAATGAGCGTCGGAGAGCAATATAGAAATCAGCGGGTCAGAGTCTTATCACTGATGGGGTCTTCTGACGAGGCCATATTAGGAGCTCCACGCAGTGCAGTGATTAATCATACGTATCCTCAAGCAGCCAGGGGACCACAACTCAATCTTTAAATAGAGGCAGGGAGGAATTCCTCCCTCATCATCCCTTAAGGGTGCTTCTGTTACAAGAACAATTCATGCTGTACTTAACAGAAGCATCCTCATGTAAGACAGGCCAGATGACAACAGTTTAAATGTATCCAAATGGGTTTCAGTGTTGTGTGATGTGAAGTATTTACTGCCGAAACCTTTTTGTCAGGCTGGTCCCTGTTATATGTAGTCTGCATTGTGAAATATTATGTATTTATTTTTCAATGTAGAAATCGATCTTGGAAGTTGCTGTTTTGCTTGACTCATGGGTTTTCAGATTTTATCCTGTCTTTATTATTATGTTTAGCGATAATTCAGTTGCTGTCTTTCTGATAGCAAGCACAGCACTGTGGTCGACTCAGGTTTTTAAAAATGTGACATTTTCAAAGTGTATTTGATTTGATGTAAATACAAAATGGGGGGCAATGGCTGCTTGCTATCAGAGAGCAAATACTAATAAGATCAAAACCAAAGGAAAACCTGTTTCAAAAATATATTTATGTGCAGTTTTACTTTAGGGTCTGACGTCGGCATGTCACAGTTAAACATGGTGGTAAAATACAAAAACAAGAATGAAAAAAATGTTAATTAAAATTAAAACAGATTTAAAAAAAAACACCAAAGTCATTAAAACCTGCAGTGGACAAAATAGCTTAAGTTGTGTATTTTATATATATGTTTTCATTGACAAGAAGAAAAATGTGAAATATTAAACGAGTTGGTGATTAGGAGACAAATAAGTAAACATTATTAATGTTTAATCCATCCCAGAACAGCAGCAGTAAAAAAGAAAAACAACAAGAACAACATTCTTTGAATGTTTTGCTATTAAGACAAAGAATTCCATAAATGTAAACTGCTAGCATTGTGGTCCAAACACAAAGGAAGATGCACAAAATATCTGGGGAGATATTTTGGAAAAGCATTTCATGTATGGGTCTCAGTTACCCACAGGGCTTAAGTGGAGTCGCAGGGAGGCATCAGTAACATATTGTGTTTAGTTATCACAGAATGGACTTTGCGGTAACAAAAACAGCCATCACATACCGAGTGGGTCGGTCTAAATAAAGAACATTAGTCTGCGAGATTAACCAGGCGACAAGTGCGAGGCAACACAGACAGAGGTCTGCCACAGGTGACATGCTCGAGATTCACTGAAAGGCAGTGATGATGACACACAATGGAGGGCTGTGCCAGGCAGACATGCTCCAATGTGATGCCAAGGTCAGTGTGGAGGCCTTCTCCCATTATCAGGCAACAACTAGCAAAAGCTGGCCCCTCAGTTACAGTCCTGTTGACATGGCATTGTGTCTTTGAGGACAAAGATAACCGTGTGAAATTCCTGCTGAGAACCCGGCACTGATTGAGGAGAACAGCCACGGAGGCTTTCAGGACTCGGCTTTTGCCTGCATCTAGAAACCAACTGCAGTGAATGATGGCTTCACACTGGGTTATGCCCCTCATAAATACTCTGATAGTGACAGGTACATCCCACAGCCAATCAAATTTCAGTGCTCTGTTTAAATTCCTGTGTGGAGTCTGAGTCTAAGCTGAGCTGTCTTCAGTTTAAAAGCAGGATTGACTTCTGTTCCTAATTCTGATATCTTTGAAGGGCGCTCCATAGACAGATGATGATGTGTTAAATATGCACCCATAAATCACCACTGCTCATCAAACCTACTGATTTATACTCCAATACATGTCATTATGCATAAATGTTTCCTGACCTGAACCAGTAATTAATATCACTTAGTAATTTATAACCTGTATTATGTAAAAAACAAAATGAAAAATCTGTTTTAAAATTAAATTGTGAAAATCTGGCAACAAGGGGCCCAAAAACAATTTTTAAAAGCAGTCTAACTACTGTAACTTTCAAAAGAAAAGAAACTGTGGGGGGAAAAAAGTTTTTTTTAAATAACAGCAAAATAAACAGAACTAAATAAAGTAGAGCTGTAATTTTACCATTTACACCTTTTGTAAAAATACAAATTTTTGATGTGGACATGAAAGAAAGAAAGAAAGAAAGAAAGAAAGAAAGAAAGAAAGAAAGAAAGAAAGAAAGAAAGAAAGAAAAGAAAATCAAGGGGTTGGAGGTTGAAATATTTAAACATTGTGGAAATATTAAATAATGCTTAATAATCCTTAATAGAGCTCATTTTTCTTTTAAATAATGGCAAATATATGTAAAATAATGACATTTTTGGCTAATTCAAATACAGTAGAAAATAGAAAAAATGTGGAATTTTACTGGTATATGCTTTAAAAGAACAAATTAACAAAACTGGACAAATCTGTAAAATATTAGTTAATTGTTTAAAAAAGTGCAGTTAATAACAGTTAACTTTACATTTTACAGTGAACACAACATGCATGAACATAATGTATAGCAGATATAATGCACAGCCACCATCACCAGTAATCACAGCCTCTTCAAAGGTTAAGAGATAAAAGGAGGGTCAACAGCTGCTGACAAGTGCTGAGATTATTTCCATTCTGATAACTTCCACTGCCCTGTTACTGACAGCTGGCGTCAGGGTGCCAAATGGAAGTGAGAGATTCCATGGCCCTGCTAAAGAGCAAGTGAAGATAGCGCTGCCCTTTGGGTCAAACGCCTGCTCATTAAAAGAAGCAAGATTTAAATACTTTGTTTATATTACAACAAATTCACATTGTCACCACATGTATTTATTGAATCCAAATTGTGAAGTGGTGTGAAGATACAGCATTCAGCCACATGTCTCACACACACACACACACACACACACACACATCAGTGACTAAGAGACTCTAAGCCAAGCAACTACAAATTATTATTACCTCATGTGATCACTTCCTATAGAGGCAATCTTTTATGTGTTCAACTGTGCATTTTACTGTCAGTGTCAGATTATTGTGCCACACTGTTGACAGTATGTCAGGTTGATATTGTGTCTATAAAATGCATTTTCTCTAGGTTTTGCAGTTTTTGTGTCTTTGGTTTTGTTGTTGATTTATGCAAAACCTGTACTAACAATGTAGCAACACTGTAAGCAATTAAGCAATTTACTGTTATTTTGCCTGTTTTGTTAAATTACAGATAATAACTAGTAAAATCCAAGAAAAAAAAAACAATCCTGTTAATTGTTTAAAATCAGAAAATCATGCCAAAACTGCAAATAATGCCAAAAATCTTTTTGAAAACGCTCATTCATTCTCTTGCCACATTTGACTGTAAAAATGATGCTATTTTTTACCATATTTGAATCAACAAAACGTATCCTTATTTTACAGACATTTGTCATTATTTGAATGAAAAAATGTATATATTAAGGATTGAAAAATGGTAAATACGTTTTTTAAACTGCTATTTTACAGATTTGACCTGTTTTGCTAAGATGACATTTAGTAAAATCACACAAAAAAGTAATAATCTACATTTTGACTTCAGAAAAAACAGACTACAAGTGTAAATATGGTCCTAATCAAAAATCTGTATTTCTAAAGTGGTGTTTTTTTTTCTTTTTTGACGTTTGACCTTAAAGTTACACTATTGCACTGTATTTAAATCAGCTAAAAACTATCATTATTTTACATGTATTTCCATATTTTCACAGTTTGTTGCTAATGCTCAAAAAGACAGTCCATTTTATTCCTAAGAAAAAATAATGCTGAAGGATATGTGTAGTTTTTGCTGTTTGTGGTAACTAACCAATCATGTTTTGTCTGAATAACCACTATTGTTGCTGCTGCAGGAGGTTAAAAGCATATGACTCTGTGTGTAGCAGAGGAAAGTGTGAGTATAAAACATTCTATAGTGTGTTTTGCACTAAAACTGTATATTAGTGTCAGAGATTGTTGCTTTTAACTACTGAGATAAGACAATGAACATCTACAGTTTTACATGTTGTCTAATTACAGAAGCAGTGAATTGTTCCATGTTTGGTCTCATCTTATTCATGTGAGCATGAGCTCATGCAGAAATCCTGTTAATCATGTTGATAATCCTCAACACATACTGTGCTGTGTGTGGCCCACCTCTTTAAACAGAGGTGTGAATGTGCTTTCATTAGCTCATAGATACCTGCTTGTCCACTGAGGGAGTTCAGGACATGACATGTAATAAGAGAAGACACAGGCCTCCCTGAATTTTACACAAAGGCAGTCTGAGGGGGTCTCTCCTCCCTCCCTCTGCCTCAAGTCATTAGTTAGTCTCCAGCAGAAGCAGCAGTGACGGAGACATGACACCAGCACAGATTCAAGCTGTAGACAGACAGGTGAGAATAGCAGTGTTAGTAAAGGTTTGAAATGATCAGCAGCTCTGATGCGTCCATAGCAGGCAAAGTACTTTAAGTGACACATTGCAGTAATACATAAAGGGGCTTTGTCTCAAAAAAAATTGAAAAAAAAAGAAGCTACATTTTTGTTAATGCAGCAGAAAACCCATTCATTGTTCTTTGTTGATTTATTTAACTGTAAAAAACAGATATTTGCTTCCTGATTCTCTACAATCCCTTCTGGCCCGTTGGAGGAACAGGCAGACTTGAACAGGGATTCACTGACCAGCTGCAAGTGATTATTCATGGTATTATGGTCAGCCTCAATATCGTCACTGGTTTATTGTTGACCTTGAGTCAGAGGCTCTTGGGATTTCTTTAACTCTATTTTAAGAACAGGAGATTTGTTTCATCTCCCTCTCTTTTAATGATCAACACACCTTAACTTTTCTGTTTTCTGCCCCTTTTCAAACACTTTGA